CAGAACCAGGGCAGGCCTTGGGGTCTTGTAGGCCACTTCTGTCTGCCGCCCCCTGATCGCCGTCACTCCTGAGAGAGGTCACAGTTCTCCCAGGGGAAGATGGGAGGAGTTAATAGTGTGCTCAGCATCAGTGCCCACCCCAAGCCTTCGCTCAGGAACTGCTCACCAGGGCCCTCCTTTAAGACACTTCTTCCCGACTTCTATCCCAAGGAACTAGCTGTCTGGTACTGGGAAGAGGTGCCTCCTCCACAGGAAGCCTGCCCCTGTTTGCTTTGGGGGTCAGCACTGGCCCAGAGCAAGTTAAACATTAAGAGGCCTGCAGCCCCGGGGGAAGGGAAAGCCAGGCCACCGTGGCACAAGTGGAGCGCACTCTGTCCCCACCTGGGACGCTCCCCGGGCGCCAGCCCCCCATCCCCACACGGAGGCCTGAGCAGTGTGTTCAGGAAGGGACAGCGGGGGGTAGTTGCTAACCACAGACCTGACCCCAACTTCTGGCTCTGTGCACCCCTGGGGACTCCAGCCTGTTTATTATGTGGGAAGGGTCTGGCCTTCCTCCTTGCCCCCCTAGTGGGACAAGGAGCCCAGGAAAGTGGCTGTGCCCTGGAAGGCAAAAAGCCAGGCTGACCAGTCTTGCTGCATGTAGCTGGCCTGGGATCAGACAGGAACACGTGCATGTGCCTGGGTGGGGGCGTGTGTGTGTGTGTGTGTGTGTGTGTGTGTGTGTGTAGGGGATGCAGGGCCTTAGGCAGCCAAGTGTGCTCTGCATCTCCCTGTCCTTGCTGGTGGGTGCACCCTGCTTGGTCTCAGCCCCTCCCTGCTCTCCCCTCCTAGGAGAGGCCTTTGTGTCCAAGTGGCCCCAGGATCCCCTGCCCCTCAGCAGCAGGGCAGCTCCAGGCTGTGGCCTCCATGGCCTGCCCCAGGAGAGGCGTCAGCAGAGTGGACCCCTTCCCAAGCCCCTTGCCTGCCAGGAACTTTATTTACACTTGTGTTACACCGAGTTTGTAGATGTGACACCCAGCCTGTGTGGATGGCAGGAATTGAACTTTAGTCTCAGGGTGATTACAGCGCAGGGACTATACTTCATTAATGGTTGTTACACAATAAAAAAAAAAAAAAAGATAAAATGGCCCCTATTTACTTTTTAAAATGCAATTTATTTTAATTTATGGTTCTAAGTACTTCTGGGGCTTGACGGGGGCTGTTAGGCCATGCATGGGGTGGGGGTCGGGAAACACAGCGAAGAGGCAGACCCGAGTAGCATGACCCCTCCGGGAGGAAGTGGACCGGCAGCCCTGGCCTGAGGCCACAGGAGTGGACTATTATGGGCTGCCTTTTAAAAAGCAGAGAAAGGCCATTCCGTGGCTTTGCCCTCTGTGTCTTGATGCTGCCCTGAGCAGTCCTGAGAAAGCATTCCTCAGCCAGACGTGTGGAAGCTGGCTGGACAGGACTTTCCCCCAGGGACCTTGGGCACGTTGGTTCACCTCCCCCACACCTCAGTGCTGGGCAGGTCCCAGGGGTCTGCGGTCCCTTGGGTCCTTTGCACCTGGCTTTGTGACTCCCCTCTGTGTGAATTGAATTCGAGATTCTTCCAGCCTCTGGGAAGTCCAGTGTCCCTGTCAAGGGCTCTTAACGGGCCAGGGTGCTACGTGGAATGCCAAGGAATGACTTCTTGGTCTCCTGCACCTGCTGTCTGCCTCCCCGTGGTCTCTGGCTCACACGCAACGTTCCCAGGCTGCCTTTGGGGTCCCTTGATGTGAGGGAACACTGCACCGCTGCCCCCTCCCCGGCCACACACACAGAAAAACCTGATGGTGACAACATTTGTACCCCAGCTCACGCTAAATGGAAGCGGACTGGTACTAGCAGGAGGCAAAGAGGTGGAGAAGTGCTAGGGAGGGGAGTCCGGCACTGGAGCTAGGGCCTGGCTTTTGTGGAAAAGACCAGCAGATGGGGCTGGGGGTCCCGCTCAGCAGGAGAGCACTGCGTGGCATGCTCAAGGCCCTGGGTACCATCTCTCAACTGCAAAAAAAGAAGAGAAGAAAACATGGGAGGGGCCAGAGCTGGAGACAGTTGGGGCCTAAGACATCCCAGCCATCTGCAGCCGCAGGCTCCCAAGTTCCACACCCAGCAGCACTGCATAGTGTTCAGGATGCAGGCACACATGCCACCAGAGACAGGGTCCTGCCCCACCCTGTATCCCCACACTCCTGCCCCAGTTGGTTCACAAGATGCCACGGAGCCCCACAGCACCCCGACTGAGGCAGCCTTGCCCCTCCTGCCCCTTGGCAGTGTGGGCGGACAGGAGCAATGTCCTAACTCCTCTTCGTGCCACCCCTGGCCAGTGGCTTTTGACTGTCTGACCCTCAGGCTCCTGACGATAGATTCTCCACCTGCCCCCTCTGCCCAGGCCATGCTGGGCTTTTGCCTCCTTTTCCCTTTTATTTTGGGAGCCCTCAGCCTGCTGAGTTAATTGGCAAACTTTCCCAGAAGTAAACTTGAGGGATGAAAATTAATAATTTTCCTGATGTTGCACTCATTGCTAATCAGGCCAGCTTGTGGGGGGTGTGCACCACAGAACCCTAGAAAAACCATTAATGAACAAAATCTTCCAGGGGCAAGGGGTCTCCCGTGCAATTTAGCAGCTCTGCAGCCCCAGTGCGGGGTGGGGGTGCCCGGGAAGGATGGGAGCCATCTTGGCCATCAGGACCAGGAAGTCAGTTCCTCTCTGGGCCTGTGAGGTGGGAGAAGCAAGTCCTCTTGGGTACTTCCAGCCGGAGTGCTCCAGGGCAGGTGAACCCTGCAGAAGGAAGGAGCCTGAGAGAAAGAGCAGGGGGGTCGCCATGAGGGCCAGGTGGGATCATGACTGCCTGCTCTCCTTGGGCCTCTCCTTTCGGAAACTGGCTTCGGTCCTGCTGGTCCTCCAAAGCCTGGGTGCAGTGTGGGGACCTTGCCCCCAGGGCTCCCTGTGCTGTTAAGAGTTAGCCCTGTGTCCCCATCACTCAGGAACTCCGGCCCTCTCATTGCAGCAGGCAGGAAGTGGGTGCAGGACCGAGCTCAGGCTTCTTGGGGGTGACTGCTGGGTCCTCCACAGATCCTCACTACAGCCTGCTCCTGGTGGGTCCTTTGGAGCCTTTAGGATGGGTGGTCAGAGGCTCTTGGGCAAACCCAAAAGCTTGGGCCCTTGTGACCCCCCAAAACCCCAGGTGGCTCTGACCCAGATGGTCTACTGACTGCTTCTGGACGAACCAGCCCCGGGGTGCTGGCTGGCTGAATATGAATGGATGGGTCACTGGTGACAAGGTTTCTCAGGGCCATAGCCCTTTTCAACAGAGCCCCTCCCTAGAATTGTCCCTGGAAGCAAACCTTAACGGGGACAGTGCAGTGGGGAGGACGAAAGGACATCCTGCTTCTCCACAGCACCCGCTGCAGCAGCTCCACACCTGTGAAGGGGGCTATGATCACAAGCCCTGGAGAAAATGCCAGGTGCGGGGCAGGCAGAGTGAAGGCCACACTGGGCAGGGGCGGAGAGCCTTCTGTTTGGGGGCTACAGGGGAAGGCCACAGCTGGGCAGGGCCCTCCTGCCAACTGGCCATGACCTGTTCACCTTGAGCAGTGCCAACCCTGTCCAGGGTCTGGGAAGCTCGTGCTGGCCCAGAGTGGCAGCCAAACTGAACAGCTAGTCCTGGCCTGCACCTACCTGTATTTTGTACATTTATAGCAGTAGCATTCTGGGGCCCAGTAGGGATGGCACCACGGAAATAACATTACAAATGAAGACATGAAGCACAGAGCGGCTCTGTACTTTGCTCAAGGGCCACACAGCAGGATTTGAACCAAGTGTGTCTATCTGAGAAGTGAACTCTTGTCCTGACAGTGTATTCCAGATTAAGGTCATTCCACCTGAAGAATTCCTCCTCCCGCCCAGGACAGTGCCCCTGGGCCAAGCAGCTGACCCAGTTTCCAGAGCTGGGCAGCTAGAAAGGCAGCTTCTAAGCATGAGGAGCTCTCGCCTCATCTCCAGCTCTGGGGACGGATTGGGCTGGGGACAGGGAAGGCTCTGCTCTGGCAGCACAAGGAGCAGCGTGTCCTGACCACCCCACCCCAGAGTCCTGGTTAGAGCCACTGGGGACCTGCTTGTCTGGCAGCTCCTCTGCAGCATTAGCTCAGCACTGCAGGGACTTCTGTCTACTCTTCTTTCGCTGGCCTTTGTAGTACCCTGTGCCCTATGCCCAGATGCCGTCCCTGCAGGTAAAGGTGTCCTGGCTTCAGAGAGCTGTGGAGGACACTTCTGTGGACAGACTGTCATCTTACAGAGGGCCCCAGGCTCTGAGGATGCAGGGCCAGGCCATGAAAGCTGAGGGGACCGGCTGGGAAAGAGGGACCAGCTGTGGGACCTGCATCCTTCCACTCTCCGAGCCTGGGTTTCCCCAGGTGGCTCACAGTGTCACCTATGTGAGGCTCTTGCCAGGGATGGTTGACTGGGCGGGGCCACATAAAGACCAGCAGGGGCATCTGGGGGCGGGAGGGCCTTCCTACAGAACTGTAGCTCCAGGCTCTTAGCAAAGCCTCACTTGATGGGGTCCTGGGTTTATCACCAGCACTTCAAAGAGAAAGAAAAGATGGAAGTGAGGTGGGGGTGGGGAGAGGCCACAGTATTATTGTAGATAAACTAATCACAATGGGAAACCCTCCAGAGACCAGTCCCAGGCTGGGAAGGGACAGCCCTGAAGGATTAAAGGGTAACTGGGAACAGCACAGTGCAGTGAGGAACCTCAAGCATTGTATGGCAACCCATTTCCTGGATTCAATGATGTTAAGAAGCTCTGTTCTTGGCTGTGAGATGCTGGAGCACTTGGGACAAGGTGGCATGATATCTATAAGACTCTCAAAAGTTTTGGCAATTTTAAATGGAGGAAGACAAAGCAAATGGAACCAAAATCTGTCTAAACAATATTGCTCTGCACAAATTCAATGTATAAAAATGCATTTTGTTTCCACAGATTTATAAAACTGTTCTTTGCAAGTGCCAGAAATGGACTGTAGCTAACTTAAGCCACGGGTAAGTGTGTGGGGCCTGTGCGGGAGGGTGGGACTGGGCACTGTCCCTGTCTCTAGGGTGCCCCCCCCAGCAGGCCCCCAAACGACCTCTCAGTTAAGTATTCAGAGGTCAGGAAAGGACCAAGCATAGTGGTGCACGCCTGAAACCCTAGCACTCTGGGAGGCTGAGGCAGAAAGATAGCAAATTGCAGTCCATCCTGGGCAGTTCAGTGACGCTGTCTTCAAGAAAAGGCGGGGGGCTGGCTGGGGACACAGCTCACTGTGAAAGCCCTGGGTTCAGTCTCCAGTACTGCCAGAAAACAGAAGGGAAAATTCTAGGAAAGGAGCCCACTGGCCTTGCCTGTCTAGACTTAGGACCCGTGAAAGGTCCCCAAATGTACACCTGCTGCTAGAGTCCCGAAGGCCACCTAACCTTCCGTACACACAAGGCCCAGAACACGCAGGCCCTGCAGTGCTGCTCAACTGTCAGTGGCAAATGCACCTCCGGAACTTTCTAGCTTAGGTGCCAGCACAGTGTGGTGCCAGCTCCTTCTCTTTGTTATCACGCAGCTGACTGGGCGCAGTGGCTCCTCGGCGGTGCTGGGCCCCTCGAGGATGGGTCCTCGTATCATAGCCCAGGAAAAGATAGAAACTCAAAGTACACTTTCTAGTGAATGTGTATCACTTTCATGCCGTCATAAAGTGAAAAATCTTCGCCGCCTGCCTGGCAAGTGCAAGGTCCCGAGTTCGATCCCTGGTACCAAAAAAAAA